AAACTAATTGAAAGATTATGTCTTCATCATAAGAAAATCAAGTGCAATCCCTCCCATTAGGGGTTTAGTATCATACCATCATAAAATATATGAGAAGAACATAACCCGTATCATGCCAACAACTGGTTTTAGAATAAATGTGTTTATTTCCGATGCAAAGACCCTATGAGTGAATCAATATTAATACCAAAATATGCAATCCTTAATGACTTGACAACAGTATCGTAACTATATATATCCTTTCCGAATAAGTCTGTTTAAAGGTTTGGTTAGCTTTTGAGGTGAATGCCGACATTTTTGTGCTTGGTAAAGAATATTACCATAAAATATTGGATGTGAAATACCTGAACGTATAAGATGTCTGCATGTTGATTTATATTTACGAATGATGTCCTTGTACCGATGATAAAATTTAGTAAATGTTTTGACTAGTTTGTGATATCGAAAACCCTGGTGTAATAATTTTTCAGTAATACAGAGATTTCTTTCGTTGAAATCAAATACGTTGTTACTTACACGAGCAAATCGAACATGTTGAGATATATAAGCACCATAAGATGGCGACAAGGGAACGTCACCATCTAAAAATGGATAATTAACAATAGGAAATGAAAAATCATCTCTTTTATCATAAATTTTGGTATTACTTTAAGTTTCCCGTTATAAGAGATAAAGATATCAAGATCCAGGAAAGGGCAGTGTTCGTTGTTAGTGTTAGCTTTATTTAAAGTCAGTTCGGCAAGATAAATCTCTTTCGTGTACATACTGAAATCGTCATTATTGAGAGCCAATATATCATCTAAATATCTAAAAGTGTTATTAAATTTTTGAATCAGATGTTGTTTCGATGGGTCTTTGCTGATTTTAGTCAGCATAAATTGTAACTCATAACAATACAGAAACAGGTCCGCAATAAGTGGTGCACAGTCTAAGAATTAATTTAACAAATGCAGTTAAATCTATTTTGTTGAGAATCTTTAAAGTATATTTTCCTGTGTGTCAATAAATTCTAATGCATTGATAACAGTTTCTTCTAAATTATCAATGATCATATTTGTGTACATTGACGTACATCATAGGCAATAAGAATGCATACTTTTTTACCTCGTGTGACTCTATTTTATTAATGATTTTTTTTGTATCTTGAATGTAAAAGTTATGCCTCTTCAATAATTGGATGTTGGATGTGAACTAGCTGTCAGTAACTGCGAGTACTCTCAGATCTGTACTTAGTGTCTATTTGTTGTTGGGATATACAAGTACCCGGCCACGTCCACTCTGTGTAGTATTTCTGTTTGTATCCATCAGATGAGTTAAGCCTTTTTCAACTGATTTTTATAGTTCGTTCTTATGTTGTACTGTTACACCACTGTCCCAGGTTAGAGGAGGGTTAGGATCCCGCTAACATGTTTAACCCCGCCACATTCTGTATGTATGTGCATGTCCCAAGTCAGGAGCCTGTAATTCAGTGGTTGTCGTTTGTTGATGTGTTACATATTTGTTTTTCGTTCATTTTTTGTACATAAATTAGGCCGTTAGTCAGTTTCTCGTTTGAATTTCTTACATTTGTCATTTCGGGGCCTTTTATAGCTGACTATGCGGTATGGGCTTTGCTCATTGTTGGAGGCCGTACGGTGACCTATATTTGTTAATTTCTATGACATTTGGTCTCTTGTGGAGAGTTGTCTCATTGACAATCATACCACATCTTCTTTTTTATATTTATAATTAGATCAAGTAAGTATCTGTCGCGGGAGAGTTACACTTATTGATGATTGGTCGGTAACGAACATTAATGTTACCTGCTAGCTGACCAGTTCGCAATGCCTCATTACTTATTTCTAGATTAATTTTATGAATTTTTGGAAGAAGGTACATGTGTCCTCCATGTTTTGAATTATTATTATTCTTTAAGAAATTATACGTCTGGGAAACTTGTTTCTTCATTAAAGGTAAATTACATGTGAAAGAGGGAGGTAGATAATTACATAGTAGTTTTTTTTATATAAATTGTAATTTTTGGTAGTCATCTTTGTTGTGATTATATGCCTTTTATTCTAAATTCTGACTTAATCATATAATCCAGAGTAGTGACATAGCTTGGGGCCAGATTGGCTGGTTCGAAATTTATGGGATAGCTAGGATATAATCATTAACTAAGCAAAATCTACAATGAACTAAAGGTAAATTCACATGTCCAAATTGAGAATAGTCTTTTAAAAGTGTGGGAATTTTGACTTTAATGTATGAAAACATTAATAAATATGGGAACTAAGTTTGTCAGTTTGTCAAAAATTTGGTTTTCAAAGAACTGAAATTTGAACTGTGTGCTTCAATGCACAAATGTAGCATTTTCATCATCTAGTGAAGAAGTTTGCTGCAAGTGACAGTAGCTGTTTGAATATTGCAGTGAGGTGAGAGATTTTGCTCTGTTTTGAAGGAATTCACTATGACTTTGAGATGAAGTTCACCAATAAAAGTTCTTTTCTTTGCTTTTGGTTTTTATACGACCGCAAAAAAATTTTTGTGGTCGTATATTGGTATAACGTTGGCGTCGTCGTCGTCCGAAGACACATTAGTTTTCGCACTCTAACTTTAGTTTAAGTGAATGGATCTCAATGAAATTTTACCATAAGGTTCAATACCACAAAAGGAAGGTGGGGATTGATTTTGGGGGTTATGGTACCCACATTTAAGGAATTAGGGGCCAAAAATAAGCATTTTTGTAACTTCCAGACATAACTTGTGTGTAAGTGTATGGATCTCTCTGACATTGTACCACAAGGTTCCATATCACAAAGGGAATGCTGGGATTGATTTTGGGGGTAATTGCCTCCAAATTTTAGGAATTAGGGGCCAAAAAGGGGCAAAAAACAAGCATTTTTCTTGTTTCGTGACAATAACTTGTGTGTAAGTGTATGGATCTCTCTGACATTGTATCACAAGGTTCCGTATCACAAAGGGAATGCTGGGATTGATTTTGGGGGTAATTGGCTCCAAATTTTAGGAATTAGGGGCCAAAAAGGGGCAAAATACAAGCATTTTTCTAGTTTCATGACAATAACTTGTGTGTAAGTGTATGGATCTTTATGAAATTGTACTACAAGGTTCCATATCACAAAGGGAAAGCTGGAATTGAGTTTGGGGGTAATTGCCTTAAAAGTTTAGGAATAAGGGACCAAAAAGGGGCCAAAAATAAGCATTTTTCTAGTTTCCAGATAATAACTTGTGTTCAAATGTATGGATCTCTCTGAAATTGTACTGCAAGGTACCATACCACAAAGGGAAGGCTGGGATTGATTTTGGGGGTAATTCTCCAAAATTTTAGTAATTAGGGGCCATAAAAGAGCAAAAAAACAAGCATTTTCCTAGTTTCAGGACAATAACTTGTGTGTAAGTGTATGGATTTTTATGAAATTGTACTGCAAGGTTCCATATCACAAAGGGAAAACTGGGTTTGAGTTTGGGGGTAATTGCCCTAAACGTTTAGGAATTTGGGGCCAAAAAACAAGCATTTTTCTAGTTTCCAGACAATAACTTGTGTTCAAGTGTATGGATCTCTCTGAAATTGTACTGCAAGGTACCATACCACAAAGGGAAAGCTGGGATTGAGTTTGGGGGTGATGAATCATAAGGGGGTTTAAAAAATTTGGGTGGATTTTTTTTCCCTTTTTTTTTTTCCCTTTTTTTTTCTTTAAAATTTTCCATTTCAAATTGGTTATTTCTGATTTATATATAAAAGCAAATAATAATGATATGGTTTGAATAGGTAAATTAAAAATGTTTAAGTTCTTAGACCACTTTCATTCTGTGTGAGAAACCTATGCTGTGTCAAATATTTAATTACAATCCAAATTCAGTGCTGTATCAAGCTTGAATGTTGTGTCCATACTTGCCCCAACTGTTCAGGGTTCGACCTCTGCGGTCGTATCAAGCTGCGCCCCAGCGGAGCATTTTATTGTGAAGTGCATGAAAGTATTTTGTGAAATGTAATTTCTATTAGAATAAAAGAACAGAGTTCCAATGTCCCTGTGATTCACATATTTTTTTTATCCAAGGTACAAGGGCAATAACAAAAAAAAACTTTTTTTTGTTTTTTAAAATATCTTATTAATATCTTAGAGAAATGAAGGCTTTAGAGCAAATGCAATGTGATTTCTATTAAAATTAATAATTCCAAGGGGCATAACTATTTAAAAATATTTGATCAGCACTTATTTTCGAAAGTGTCAAAGATATTGCTGATATAAACCTATGATATAAGTTTCATAAAATTCTGGCAATAATTGTACACATGAGAACACTGACAATGTAATTTTCCATATAAATCAATATTTCCAACGGGCCTAACTCTTTTAAAAATAATTGATCGGCACTGATTTTTGAACTCGTCAAAGACATTTATGATATAATCCTATAATATAAATCTCATGAAAATCTGGCAAAACTATACACATTAGAGCACTCATAAGACAATATTCCATATAATTAATATTTCCAAAGAGCATAACTCTTTTAGAAATTAATGATCGTCACTGACTTTGGAACTTGTCAAAGACATTGCTAATATATATTTATGATTTAAGTTTCATAAAATTTTGGCAAGACTTGTACACATGAAAGTGCTAGCAAAGCAATTTCCCATATATTTAATGTTTCCAAGGGCCATAACACTAATTTTCAAACTCATCCAAAACATTCCTAATTTAACCTATGACATAAGTTTCATAAAAATCTTGCAAGAATTGTACAAATGAGAGCGCTAACAATGCAATTTTCCAAATAATTAATGTTTCAAAGGGGCATAACTCTTTTAAAAATAAATGAATCAGCACTGATTTTCGAACTTGTCCAAGACATTGCTGATATAAACCTATGATCAAGAATTGTGCACATGAGAGCGCTAACAAGGCTGGACAGACGGACACACAGCTGGACAGATGCCCAGTATTTCTATGTCCCCCGCAACACGTTGCTCGGGGACAAAAAATAAAACCAACTAAACTTCAATTGAATTTAATAAATAAACAGGATAGCAAAATGAAAAAAACAGTTTCAAATATTTTCAAAAGATTAAAAAAACAAAACAGTAATTACTGAATAATGAAAAAGTAATATTTAATTGAATATACAATGAATACATCCAGTTATACCATTCTCTGTTCAAGTTTAAGGTATTTCCTTCATTAAATGTATTTCAAATAAATATAACTGTACATTATAATCTAAATTGTGTTCAACTTTTTACAGTGTCTATCCATTTGGTATGGTTGGCATTGCTGCATTGGTCCTTCTCATTCCATTTTGATCTTGCCTATATTTACTTTCCCTGTAGTTTTCATGGCCTACAATCATAACAATAACAAAACATGAATGATAAGGAAGGAATAAAGGACACAGCAAGAAAGTTATCAGACTATAACATATGGATATAAGTAGAAATTTACTGGTAGGAAACTATATATTCAAAGTGACTGTGAACTTAGTATTGTAAAATCTATTATCACGATAGTAATATGCTGAACTCAGTAATTTTGATTCTATGTAACCAAAAAAATCAAATTTATACTCATTAAGTCATCAATGAGAAACCTAAGGGAACATTCCCTCATATATTGTCCTAGCAAATTAAAAAAAAAATACAAGTCTTGGGATTTGCAATACACCCAATTGGAACCTACAATTTATGATTGGGTTTTAAAGAGTTGTGGGAAAGCAGTAGTCAAACAGGTTACATTGCCAAAACGTCTGGTCAAGAGTGAAATTTGTAGTCACATATGTCACATTGGTAAAACTTCTGGTCAAGAGTGAAATCTGTAGTCATACATGTCAAATTGCCAATAGCTTCTGGTAAGGAATAACTGTAATTTAAGTAAATGTAAAAAATTCCCATAAAAATTAAATGGAAAGCTAATATTCTTATAATTTGTACAAGGATTTTTTTAAACCTATATGATATCTTTGTCATTGACTTCAACCTTAACTGGGTCCCATATATGTCTCCTTATATTATTTAAATACGCTTTTTTATAAGGTACAAAGAAAAAAATGCCTCAAAATCTGAGAAAATATTCAATCTTAGGTTAATCTCAGAAACATTATATCATTTATTTTGTACAAGGCTTAGAAACTGGGGAAGGGCAAGAGTTACAGATTCCTTTAACTGTTTTGTGCCAAATAAAAAAATAAAGTTGATATTTTTCTGACTTTGACCTAATATTGTTTTATACTACAGCTAAATTCTAATTATGATTTATGAAAATATTATAATATACAAAAATAAAAATGTCTTTTTTTATCCCTAAATAAACCCTAAATTGTGAAGAAAAATGACAGGATATGAAATCAATATTGCACGAAATATCACTTTTTACTATAATTGTTAGATAAAGAAAACAGAAAGTATTATAGCTGCAGTATAAAAGTAAATAATTTATAAAGTCTTGTCACAAAATCTTACTTATTCAGCATGTAAAAGAGATGAGATATGATTATTGGAAAGACAAATTATCCATCAAATATTGATTGATTCAAGGTTGCTCCTGCAGCAAATATTACATGCATATTCAGGACACATAATTCTGACTTTAAGCCAACCAGTCTTTAATTTTACTTCTAAAAGCTGTGTGATTTGCAGAGAAGCAGCAAATACCAATTTAGAAGTCCTTGGTTTGAACCAGCTGAGGATTGAATCCATCCTCTCCCTCACTTAATGCAAGAATTCTACCACAAGACCACTGACATTTGACTGAGGAAGTCCTTCCAAAGATCAATTTATGTCTCCATGTTTCAACTTCTTATGCAGCCCCAAAAAAAACAACTTCTAATTATAGTGCATTATTACTGCCACATAAGCTTACATAATGACATATGGGTCAACATACTATAATAGCTTACTTTGCCCATACGCTGAGGTAGATTTAGGAGTCTCTTCAGTTATCAGGGTAACATCACGTTTGTCCTTCGACTTTCCAGTGAGTTTCTCCTTCAGATAACTGCAGACTTAAAATGAAAAAAAAAAATTTTTATAATAAAATATTCCAAGGGTGTAAAGCTTAATAAATTGTCATCATATAAAAAGTATATCTTTCTGAGAAACATAAGTGAGTGTCTGATTGTACATTTTGATCAAAAACCAACTTTACATGTTGTATAAAACATTGTGTCAAAAGCCTTTGAATTTATTTGTTTCAACTTTACAAGTACTTTTTTACTCAAACGGTCAAAATGTTTAAGTATTTTTTGCTGTTGATCAGTTGTAGACTTATTCTTATGCAATACTGAGAATCTGAAATGTTTTTTGTAAAATGCATTGAAGGTCATCTATAATGTTAAAGCATTACAGCATGTACAGTAAATAAGTCATAAGAAAGTTCAAGCTGAGACTACTATAACACATGTGTAATTGTAGTCTCAGGTTCAAGCAATCAAATATATTTCCTGTCCTCCCCATTCTAATGACTTTTTTTTAAAGGAACCTTGTTTATTCCAATTGAAATGGTGTTGATATAATCAAGGATTTTCATGTTACTATAAAAATCCTTGATTTTTTCATGTTAATAATAGAACCTAGGATGAAATTTGAAAAAAATAGACAGGACAGCTAGGAGTTTTGAGTAAAAAAAAGGCAGGATGAGACACTTTGCAAAAAAAAAGGCAGGAAGACAATTTAAGTTAAAAAAAAGTCAGGATAAACTAAAAAAAGAAGGCAGAACCGAATAGAGTGAAAAATAAAAAGGCAGGACAGAGATTACAATTAAAAAAAAAGGCAGGACAAAATTTTTCATCCTAGCCCCCCCCCCCCCCCCCCCCCCCCCCCCCATAAAAATCAAATGGTAGCTCCCTATGGTATGGGAAAAATTTGGATTCAGAATATATTTTTGTCATCTGCTTGACCACAATATTTTTTTTCATCAAATTGGGCATCAGAATATTTTTTTAGGAAAAAACCATAACCCCCACCCCTTGAAGTTAAATGGTCGTTCCCTAAATAGAACAAAACTTCTCAACATTCAACTTTTACTGTCATTTGTTATCATAATCAAGGAGGTTATATCTCATATAACCTCCTTGTCATAATCAAGGACGTATATATGTTAGTTATACTTCCTTGTCATAATTCACTGTTTCTTTGCATGGTCATTTACTGTGAATATATACAACCGACCGTGCGAGGGCTGTATAGCCAGTCAAGGTCGTTAAAAACTCCCATCATCATATATATACATGTATCTCTTTATTTAAAAAAAAATTTAAATCATAGATCCGGAAACTTATTTTATAATGTGACATTAATGAATAACAAGGATTTGTATCCTTAAAAAAATTTCTTCCTATACGAATCCTTGATCACTATAAAAATAAAAATTTCGCAAGTCATGATCAGTGACCTGTGAATAGAATTCAGAAAATTTAATGAAATATGCGAAGCTTTTTGTTGCGAGTAAATTGAAAATATCGCTTACGGTTTATTATCATTCACACCATATTTAGGTCGTGTTATGTTGATTCACCGACAGGAGTAAAAATCACTTTTAAATAATAATGCTTGATATCTGTTACGCTTGTGTGGTGTCAGTTTGTTTTGTTTATCATCGGCTCAGTCAATATAATTATGTAAACATTAAAAATGTTTTTGACATTGTGTGTATTCGATAAATAGTCCATTAACAAAAATTGCAGATTTTCTCTTAAAAACTTTCATACAGACCAAATGACACTATGTCTTATGCTTACAAGCTTAATTGAGACAATCAGTTTGTTTTAAGTTTTAATATTATAACCTGAATTCTTTACCATACATATAATCAAGGATTTGTATAGTAAGTAGTTTACTATACAAATCCTTGATATAATATATTCATTTGTTTCCTGCTTGTCAAATCATACTGTCACAATAAATTTTAAATCTCTATATTTGTGGTTAGATCAGAGACATATGTGTATATATGTCTCTGGTTAGATAAAGTAAAAAAAAAAGAACAAGTTTATGAGTATATCCACAGTATCAATGTTGATGAAAGCTTTTTTTTCAAGTATTTTTTAAAATATCATGTTCGTCGACAGATCTGAGATGTCACCGCAAACAGTGGCATATTGAAATGTGCATTCCAACGGAACATATCACTGCCATATCAGAGAGTTATAGTTGAGGTTGATAGATATAGAAAAGTTTGAATTGTTTACAAAGAATACGTCGTTTAAGTATTTCCAGGTGTTGTGAAAATGTTAACGGACACTGATTTTAAATATTCCCAAGAAAGAAAATAATGAAATCAGGAACCTGGAAGTTATATTGGAACAGCCCCAAAAAGCTGTAACAAATCTGACATGTTACACAACTAAGATAATGCAAAGGGAGTAAAACGGTCTTATATATACCAACCCTTTACCACGGCTAGCGAGACCAACGCCAACAAATAAATGTACATTTACTTATCAATTAATCGTTATAGAATAAAAGGGGAAAAGTTCTGACAACATATTTAGGGCCTTTCTCTTACAGAATTACATGTTTATTCATGTATACAAATTCTTTACACGTATGAACAGACGTTAGTTTTTTCAATTGAATTGTTTCATAATTTTCATGTCGGGGCCTTTTATAGCCGACTATACGTTGTGGGTTTTTCTCATTGTTGAAGGCTGTACGGTTTCCACAGGCACTTGTCTCAGACTTTTTTTTTCTCTTCTTTATACATTGATATAACAGGTATATTTAAAAAAAACAATTCTGAGACAAGTGCCTGTGACGGTTGCCTATAATTGCTTACATCCACTTTATTTGAACTTTGGTGGATAGTTGTCTCATTGGCAATCATACCTCATCTCCTTGTGTTTATATAGAGTCCATAATAAAGACATAGTCACGTAAATTGGGCTTCTGGAAATGGACCAAATGTATGACATAAATGGCAACGGAAGACTGAGAGGTATTGGAATTAGTCCAAAGGCGTGAGAGCCACTCGGGTTTTGAAGGCCTCTACTTTCATATTGCAAGTCAGGAATATGGCAGTTGTTGTTTTTATACGCCCCTCTTTAAAGACGGGACGTATTAATATGGTAAACCGTTGTCCGTCCGTCCGTCCGTCGTCAACATTTCGGACAATAACTCAAAAGCGCCTTCACCGATTTTACGTATCTGAGTTGTGGGATTTTAATGTTTTTTCTTCTCCAGTTTTCAGGCTATAAGAATAAGAATAAGAATATTTACTATTCCAATCAAGGGCCCTTGATGGGCAGCATAACATGTTCACATAAAACAATACATCATGATTTGTAACAGAAAAACATTTTTATATATTAAAATGAAACATTAAAAAGTTCAGACAGATGTTATTATCTTCATTCTATAAAAAATCACATACATTTAATTCCAGGCAGGATCAGAACTATAAAATCATTACAATTATCATTGTTATTACATACATTAATTAACATTTCGTCTAACATCTAGACATGCAATAATATAGCTCCCTAAATATTTAAGTATAGACAAATTTTCATTAGTAAATAACCAAACAAATTTTGCCTCATTTGAAAGATATATAAAATTGGGACAGATGCAGTTTATCTCCTTGAAAAATATCTCCCTATCAATATTGTATGCTGGACAACTAGTAATAAAATGTTGTTCATCTTCAACCAGATTTAGAGTACATTTCTTACAAAGCCTTTGGTCTCTTTCTATATATAAAGTTTTATACCTGTCTCTTTCTATTTTGAGATCATGTGCACTGATTCTGATTTTACATATGGCACTTCTCAATTGAAAATTGATTAAAGATAGATACATTTCCTTCGAAAAACAAGTTTTAAGTTTGAAATAAGTATCTAATTTACTACTCTTTGTATCTCTTCTTTTTGTGTTCCAAAGTTTTACAAAACTATTACAAAGTTTTTGCTTAACTGACTTGTTAAAAAAGTTGAGCTTTACCTCCAAATTATGAATATTCAGCGTTTTAAAAATGTAATGTATTCAATATTATTATTAAACATGTTTTTGTTACACATATAGGTATCATACAGTAAACCATCTTTCATATTTTTTATTCTAAACCAATATTTCAGCATTGATAATACAACTGAAAAATTTAAAGGGAATCTACCAAGCTCTCCTAGCACAGCTAGGCTAGAAGACTTTTTGTTTACACCTAATATATACTTCATATATCTTAAATTGGATTTATCTAAAAAAAATCATTCATATAAATGTGCTGTAATAAATATTCACTTTCTTTCTGGCATGCTGCAGAGCTAGTTTTAAACATACCTGACATTTCACTGCCATACATTAAAATGGGTTTTATTGTATGGTCATATATATGTAATAGAGTAGAAATACTTGGATTGGAAGATGATAAAGATCTTTGCAATTTGAATACAGCTTTTAGTGATTTTTTGTATAATTCTTCCTTTCCTTACTTAAAAAGTCCACTAGATATAAACCTAAATACTTATAATTGTTAACACATTCTATTGTATCTTTTTCGAAATAAAAATATTCTTTTAAAAGTTTACCAGGTTTGTTAAATATAATAACTTTGGTTTTAGATAGATTGACCTCTAAACACCATTTAGTACAAAATTTGGATAAACCATCAAGTCCCTTTTTGAAGACCTGCCTTGGAACTAGAAAAAATAACAATATCATCTGCATACATGAGGCAGTCAATCCTGCGGCCGTTTATATCAACAGCGCCTGGGCTTTCCTTAAATGCATCCGGTAAATCATTTATAAAAATCTTGAAAAGGTTTGGACTTAAAACATCCACTTGCTTTACTCCAATTTGAGAATAAAAATTAGGAGTAAGCACATCATCTATTTTAACACATAATGTATATCTAATTTTCATGGAACTTCGCTGAATTCTTTATATATATTGACATAAGTTCCCTATGGAATTTTAAAAAATCTGAGTTTCTGATATTGTGACTTTGTTCATAAAAAGGGGGATTTTCTAGTTTTCGGACAATAACTCAAAAACGCTTTGAGCAGTTTCATGAAATATTTGTGACTTGTTTATATCTAATGAAAAAGTTCGTTTTTTTGTTGCTTTTTTTTTTATAAATTTTTGATATAACATTACTGAGTTTTGGAACTTTATTCGTTGAAAAATCGTCGAAAACTGGACGATTATAGAAATAAATTCGTTAAAAATCGTAATGCTACTTGGTAACATTGTCATTGATGTTCATCACCTGAAGATGTGTTGTGAGCAAGATAGAAATGTAATGGGGTAAATCAAGGTCACTTGTTCCGTTGATTGATATAGCGTTTGATTTTGTCAGTTTTTATGGACTTCACCGTTTTTAATTTGCCTTTGAGTTCGGTATTTTTGTGATACTTAGTTCTTAGAGCACACAACGTTGTCGTGTAGTCAATCCCCATCTTGAATTGTTCTGACTCTGACAAAGATTGACTGTTTGTATTGTTTGGTTCTACAGAGGGGTATTTGAAGCATCTACAAATTTATCGACAATATTTGTATATTTATATATTTGTTGTTTTAAAGTCAATACGTTGTTTAGATCTTATACACCGTGACACGTATTGCATTTTGTTCTTTCCTTGGTGAGTACAGTGCCTTGCGGGATAGCTGGTTACTAACACTTCGACCATCTTGTAGAGAAATAACAGTCTACTGTGACATCTATTTTCCAGAATTGGAAGTTCCAAATCATCCATTAGTTTCCTTATACTTCATATAACTCCTCTTTGTTGGTTAATTGAGGCTGATGAATCGCACGTGTACCGCATATCTCTGGACTCATTCTAGTCCGTTAATGTCCTCGAAGTGGTAAGGATCCCTTGCCATTGATTTCTAACAATGATCGGATACATCTTATGTGTGCTTGTTTATTGCAATCCTTTGGGCAATGATTTTGCCTGTAGGAAGCCTTGTGTGGAATTTCCTTTCTTCACGTTTTTTCAATATGAATGCCCCATTTTTAGATCTTCTGATATGATAACTCCTATAAGTACGGATTTCATTCTACTTGTTGCAAGTTGTTGTATACGGTATAATTGATAGAAATGAGACGATTTGTTGTTGACCCACATAGATAGTTTTTTGAGGAACATGTTAAGCTAGTCTAAAATTGGTAAGCCAATACCGTAACTTTCGAGTTAGACAGCGGTCTCTTGTGCGGAACCCGTCGATCTTGTGAGAATCCATATCTATCTTGTTGTCTTGTTCGAACCTTTGCTCAAAATTGATCGAATCTTTGGCTTAAACTTTGACAAAATTAATTCCATTAAAAAACGAGTTTTTTTTCAGGATATAAGACTGTTAGAGCAGTTTACAATACAAGTTTGAGGGTCATTATAAATGAGGATAAGTGATGATTGCGAATGAGATAACCATTCACAAAAGATCAAAGGACGATGTTTTAAATAACTATTTGGCACTAAGCCTTGATCAACGAACAAAGCCCATACCATATGGCAAGGTGTAAAACCACCAGGCATGACAGATTATGAAACAATACAAAAGAGAAAACCAACAGCCTGTTTTACGCTAAGACATGTAACGAAAAACAAAAATGGCAGACAGAAACAAACGACAACCACTGAATTACAGCTTCCTGACTCTGGACAGGAACTTTTAGAATGTGGCGATTTTAACATGTATGTGAACGCTTAATCCTTCCCAGTGTAACGGCACAACATAAGGACAAACTGTATACTAGTAATCAATTTTCAAAAGGCTTGACTTGTTAATATGGCATTAAGCACACGTAACAAAACTCTCATTGAACAACAGACAAAATCGAAACGTACTTTTTGAGAACTTACAGTTACTAAAAGCTAACACAAAGCCAATTCAAACCAGTAAATAAATAATGTTTCCCAGACTAAAATATCAATTGGTAAACGCATCCAACAAATTTAGAGGAAAGGTTCCCGAGGCATAAACAGTCGAAGAAAAGCATGACATTGCGCAATGCCAAACTATACTGAGTATCGACAGGATGTAGGAACACCTAAGTATTCAACACTGTACAGTCTTACATATTCAGAATTGTATATTTCTCTAAGATACAACTGGGGTACGTTAATCAGGGGCGGATCCAGCCATTTATAAAAGTTCCTTACCCAGTATAAAGCGGGGGGGGGGGTCCAACTATATGTCCCCATTCAAATGTATTGATCGTAAAAAAAAAGGGGGGGTTCCAACCCCCGGAACCCCTCCCCCCTGGATCCGCCACTGTGAATCATTATAAAACAAAAGAACAATAAACCAAAAGGCAACGAATAATAAACTAGTAATTTGGTGACTATGTTGAACACATTTATCCCATCGAACTTGAGATAAAGGATACAGTAGATATACAGTTGAGTCAGTCTAATATCTTGACTTACATCTAGAAATTGACAATGAGGGTCGGTTGAAAACAAACTTAACGACAAAAGAGATGATTTCAACTTCCAAAGTGTGAACTTTCCATTTCTATGTAGCAACATTTTAGCAGCGCCTGCATACGGAGTATATATCTCCCAGTTGATACAATATTTCAGGGCTTGTATATTTCCTATTATGATTTTCTTGATAGAGGGTTGGTGCTAACAAGAATATCTGTTTCACAGATGACCTCGGATATGTTCCAATTATCGTAACTAAAATCCCGTCCCCTTTTCCTCGAATGTGACCTACCAAATAAGACTTAATACCGGGCTTGTACTTACATGAGCAACACGACGGGTGCCACATGTGGAGTAGGATCTGCTTACCCTTCCAGATCACATGAGATCACCCCCAGTTTTGGTGGGGTTCGTGCTGCTCAGTCTTTAGTTTTCAATGTTGTGTTTTGTGTACTGTTGTTTGTATGTTGGTCTTTTTCGTTTTTAGCCTTATCGTTGTCAGTTTATTTTCGACTTATCAATTTGAATCTTTCGCCTCTCTTTTAGTAACACCAAGAAGCTAACTAAAAAAATGTTATCTGTAAACACAATACCAGAAGTCCATTGCTCCGAGTATAATGAACTTATAATGACATAAAATCAATCAAAGACGTAAATAATACGATATTATAAATCTCAGTGTTATAATGAATATGAAGATGTTTCAAGATACGGCCGTGGTTATGAAGCATATGAAAAAAATCAAAATAATGTATTATACCAGCCTGAGACGTAAATATTCTTATATGTCTCTGATAATACCTTATCAATTATATTTGCTTCTTTAAAGTCAATATTATATATGTGTTTCAGAATTAAAAAGTGTTTTTGAAAGTATAAAATGCACATTTTCTAGTTGGTAAACCCAGAGACATATATACACATATATGTGTATATATGTCTCTGGTAAACCGTAGTGAGAGAGGCGAAAGATACCAAAGGGACATTCAGACTCGTATGTCGTAAATAAACCGACAACGCCACAGCAAAACAAAAAGAAGAAAAACGACACCAAGACCAGCAACTGTATATAAAACATAACATATCAAACTAAAGACTGAGCTACACGACCCCCCTCCCCCTTCCTCCCTTTCTGAGGTAGGTACTGTATTTCATTTTGTCAGCAACCGTTTATTATAATCATATGTATCTTTTTAAGCCTGGGACCGTCAGGCACTGAGGTAAGGTGGGTTAAGATAGAAATTAAATGACATGTTACAAAATTGTACCGTAAACCTGGGACTATTATACAACGTTAGCTTAATAGTCTCAGCGTAGACCTATAGGAGGATCTGGATTGGGGTCTCACATTTCTGAATATTAAAAGGTGTAAGTAATTTGTCTTTATTCTTTTTACCATTATTCTCTATTCTCTATTTTTTTTATTTTCTACCATTATTTTCTATTATTTTCTATTTTTTTACCATTATTCTCTATTCTTTTTTTTTTTTTTTATCCATTATTCTCTATTCTTTATATTTCAGCACATCATTTTTCTCTATCCCTTTTTTTTATATATATCATGCTATAACTATATAGTCTATCCCGTATTTGTAAACCCCATAAACCCCTACGTTATAATTTCCCAAGAACAGTTTGTTCTTTTTTTTGTATAAATGTAACTTTGCCATTGTTACGGACAAAACTCGCTCAATTATATGGGTACTCGATGATATTTGGTACTGTGCCTCTTTACTAACAACGCGAAAAATATTTTACCTTTCGGAATCTATCCGAGGAATGTTCCGAATGGTAGAGGACGACACGTGAAATAAAATATGAACAGATAAATATTGACGAGTAAAGACAAAACACAACAGGTCCGTGAAATGCTACAGATGCTGTAGTGTTTGAAAATAATATAATTCAGTTATGTTCGACATAAGCGGATTCAGGTCGAGGTACCTCAAAACAGAATATGCCGGTCATGGAAGCAAAACTAGTCGCCCCACTGCCAAATCGCCCCACTTTTCCACCAACTTGCCCCACTTTTGATAAAAGGGCAAAATCAATTTAAATTTACTCCTGCCAACTCGCCTCATTTATGAAAAAGGGTACTTATGTTTATGTTCATACCTATCATCTGAGAATAAAATTATGTAAACATCCATGACTTTTGACTTATCTTGTAAAACAGTGCTTTAAATTTACCAGAAAACAAACATCATAAACAGTTACAATGGTCAATAACATCGTACATCACAGAAATGCTGATACTTCCTTCTTTCTGATTTATTTCAACCAAAAGAAAAGAAGTATAAAAAACAAGATGTATTTCTAAGGTTTTTATCGGTATTCATTTTAAAATTCCTAAATGGGGCTAGTTGGTAGGCCTTAATTTAGTCCAAATAATTATGACGTCTTGCAAGGCTATTTTAATTTTTTTATGTGACGCCTTCCTACGACGTCATAATGCTGAAGCCATTTTCTACGTCTGGACTTTGAGAGAGAATTTTGGGGGAACTTTGAGACCCTGGACAATTTTGGCATGAAATCTTCATTGCCGGCTAGAAATTTTTGCATACTTACAAAGTCTTACCTTTTTTGTGCTTATTGATGCAAAATATTTCCAGATATATCCAAAAGAAATGATAAAATAAGATACGATTTCATTTGAGGTGAGCAAATATTTATTTTAATTTCAAAATGGTTTCCCAGAATTTCCAAAATACGTCACTTCCGGAGGGTATAAAATGTCAAACTCTGTAATTTTGGCAGACCCGAATTTCCAGATAAAACAAATTGAACGATCTGGAAATTCGTGTCCATCAAATTTTACCGATTTCGATATATCATACTCTCCGTAAGTGACGTATTTTGGAAATTCTGGGAAACCATTTTGAAATTAAGTAGATATTTGCTCACCTCAAATGGAATCGTATCTTATTTTATCATTTCTTTTGGATATTTCTGGAAATATTTTGCATCAATAAGCACAAAAAAGGTAAGACTTTGTAACTATGCAAAAATTTCTAGCCGGCAATGAAGATTTCATGCCAAAATTGGGTCTCAAAGTTCCCCCCAAAATTCTCTCTCAAAGTCCAGACGTAAAAAATGGCTTCAGCGTTATGAGGTCGTAGGAAGGCGTCACAGAAAAAAATTAAAATAGCCTTGCAAGACGTCATAATTATTTGGACTAGCCTTAATTCAGTACAGTTTAATTCTTTTTTCATTAGTGGGGCGAGTTGGCAGACCTTTAATTCAATGGAATTAAACTCCTTGTCATAAGAAGGGCGAGTTTGTAGTCCTTAATGCAGTCAGATTTTATTCCTTTTTTCAAAAGTGGGGCGAGTTGGCAGACTTATATTCAACGGGATTGAACCCTTTTTCATAAGTGGGGCGAGTTGGCAAGAGTAAATTCAATGGGATATTACCCTTTTTCACAAGTGGGGCGAGGAGGTAGAAAGTTGGGCGAGTTGGTGAAAAAGTGGAGCGATTTGGTGTGGGGCGATTTTGCAGTGGGGCGATTTGTCATGGATTAGCAATCATCGTTGTTGGTATAAAAGGGTGGTTTCGCCCCCATTTCTGTTAGCCTGGCATCCTGCTCAAAGCGAGTTTTTAAATGTATAAGATTGTAAAATTTATAAATCATATTTGTACTATATTATTACAAAATAATGTGATAACCCAAATTTTAATTTTTTAAGGATATAAGTTGAGTTTTGCTTTAGTTTAGAATAAGTTTCAACCAGAGTTCTCGAAAAGTGGTGGTTCTTTAAGGTTCATGTGGACCCTTTGGCTAAAATGGCTGCATTTTCACCTCAAAATTTACTCTTGAGTACAGACAAACCTTTGCATTTGGAAAAGTTTTTAGGCCCTTGATAAATAAAATTCATATGCATAATGTTTGTTCTAGAAAATTTAAAACTTAACTTTGCAGTGCACTTTTTTTGTCCCTGCAGAAGATGAAAAAATTAAATAACAGTTGAGTTTCACTTGATATTGTCCTCGCAGGTACACAGTTTAAATCACCAATTATTGCCAGGTATCTATTGTCCATCTAGTGTCAATGTCAATCAATACATAGATATAAGAAGATGTGGTATGAGTGCCAATGAGACAACTCTCCATCCAAGTCACAATTTGTAAAAGTAATCCATTATAGGTCAAAGTACGGCCTTCAACACGGAGCCTTGGCTCACACCTAACAACAAGCTATAAAGGGCCCCAAAAATGACTAGTGTTAAACCATTAAAACAGGAAAACCAACGGTCAAATCTATATAAAAAATGAGAAATGAGAAACACTTATTAACCACATCAACAAACGACAACCACTGAACATCAGGTTCCTGACTTAGGACAGGTGTAGACAAATGCAGCGGGTTTAAACGTTTTAATAGGCGCCAACCTTCACAGTTCCTGAAACAATAGTGTAACATCACAACATAGAAAGACACACTTTAAAATATCAATTGAAATGGCTTAACTTAATCAAAAGACATATTAAAAAAAAACAAGTGAACATACACTTGATTGTAGGGTAAACGTGGAGTACGGAAATAATTTTTACAAAATAAATAATTTTGTTGTTCCTAGTACGAGAACAAAAGTGAAAATTTATTGTCATACTAAACACATAAAAGGTGGTATACATGTATATTAAAAATAGTGAGACTAGATATAACACTGAATAAGTAAACATTAAATAACAAAAATACATTACAAATTGTATCAACAGGTCTAATTAACACAAAAGTAAGATTTGAGAGTACTCGCAGTTGGCCACAGACCACAATTAATTCCTCTATTAGTTCTTTGTAACGTTTTGTCGCATTAAAAAAAAAATTACCTGTTTTTTTTGTCAAATTTTTTGTGAGTGTAATGTACAGTACAAGTCCAAAAATATATCCAACTTTCAGAAAAATTGCATGTATACATCATACAAATTTAGCCAATACACATCCATACATACCCCTATAGACAAGTCAAGAGATGTTCCGAAAACTGTAAATATTACCTTTTTGCACCTGGCCTAATCACTCTTTCCATATCAAAATCAGTTATTAAATAAAACATCCAAAAATTTATTTCAGCTCTCTTCTTCTTGTATTTCCACCCCATAAAAACTAAGAAATGTATGAGAAAGGGAAAGAAAAAAAATAAAGAAAAAATACACTTTAATTAAAGGGAACTATATTCTTGGACAACGAAAAGCGGGATCATTAAGTGTGGTCTGGGGCCAGTTACTGAAAGCTAGTTAAAAGTCAAAAACAATTAATGATAAAAATTCATGCATCAGAGACTAAAATTAACTAAAACGCATCCCAGGGATTTAGTGTTTTAACGTCATGGACAGTCAAAGAAGACATGACTTGTGCAATGCCAAAATAAAAGTATCGACAGGCAGTAGAATAGTTAGGAGTTAACCTGTTAATAAATATGTATAATGTAATATATAGATAGAGTAATCTTTATATAGAAAATGAGCGTGGATGTGTATTTATACATCCCAAAAAAAACGTTTGAAAAGAATACAAATTTAGTTATGTTTTAATTTGCTGATGACAAAATCGATATTTGTGCCAATGTAAACTATATTCAAAGATCTAATTACAACATTGGTAAGATAACCTTTACTAATACGTTTGTTTACAGGTTAGATGAGTTTACATGGATCAAATAGTGATTTCCGCACTTTTAGTACAATATTACTATAAAATTTAGGATGTGAAATACCGTTTTTTAAAAAGTTTTCTACAGGTACAGCCAAATTTACTAATAAAATCTGTGTATCTCTAAAAGAATTCAGTAAAAGTTTTAAGCAATTTATGGTAACGAAATCCCTGACTTACATGCTTAATAATTTACCAGTGATGCATTGATTACGTTCTTTAAAATTTATGACATCACTACACACACGGGCATAATGAAAGAGTTGGGATATATAAACACTGTATAATGGAGCCCAAGGAACATCGCCGTCTAAAAAGGGAAAATTAACAATAGGGAATGAAAAATTGTCTCTTTTGTCGTAAATTTTAGTATGGAGCTTCCCTTTAAAAATTGAAATGTCTAAATCTAGAAAAGGACAACTACTGCTGTTTATGTTAGAGTTATTTTAAGTTAGTTCCTTTGGGGAAATTTCGTTAGTATATTTAGAGAACTCTGGATTATTTAACGAAAAAATATCATCAAGATAACAGTAGGTATTGTTGAATGTATCAACCAAATGTAACAATGACGTGTTTTTACTGAGTTTGGTCATAAACTGAGATTCATAGCAATACAGGAATAAATCTGCTATTAAAGGGGCGCAGTTAGTGATATACAGTTCACTTCAATTATTACCTGTGTGGAAGTTCTCAAACCTCTTTCACAAGTCAATTTATTTTGGCAACTTCTGGAGGAATGAAAAAAAGTGCTAGGCATAATCGTGTTCAGTTTTTATACGACCGCAAAAAAATTTTGTGGTCGTATATTGGTATGACGTTGGCGTCGTCGTCGTCGTCCGGCGTCGTCGTCCGAATACATATTGGTTTTCGCACTCTAACTTTAGTTTAAGTGAATGGATCTTTTTGAAATTTGACCATAAGGTTAAATACCACAAAAGGAAGGTTGGGATTGCTTTTGGGGGTTATGGTACCAACAGTTAAGGAATTAGGGGCCAAAAGGGGCCAAAAATGAGCATTTTCTAGTTTCCAGACAATAACTGTGGAACGGTGTATGGATCTCTCTGAAATTATACTACAAGTTTCCATACCACAAAGGGATGGTTAGGATTTGCTTTGGGGGGTTATGGCTCAAACCGTTTAGGAATTAGGGGCAAAAAAGGGGGAAAAACAAGGTTGTCCTGGTTAATGGACAAATACTTTAGTACAAAACATAATTTAAAGCAGTGTAAGGGAGATAAATCAAATACATCATTGAAATTATCTCCCTTACACTGATTTTAAATTATGTATAAAGTAATGGTTAATGAACAATAAAGATAATCTAAAACAGTGTAAGGGAGGTAATCCAAATACAACGTTTTGGTTACTTCCCTTACACTGCTTTTAAATTATGTTTAAAGAAATGCATATTTATAAAGGAAGACCAGTAAAAATATCTGCAAATGTTTTCATCTTTTTTTTTTACAAAAAAATCCATATGAAAGATTTGACACTATATTTTTATTAATTCTATTATAAAATAGATTAAGTTAGCACTATGGTAAATTTAAATGGGTAATTATGGTTGCCAACTCCATTGGAAATTTGAATTGAGATTATGACCATATTTTGAGGGAAAGAATTTTTTTGGGGGAAAAAGGGGGGGGGGATAAAAAGAAATTGTGGGGGGCCAATTTTTTCTCATTTCAGATTTCAGAAATTAAAAAGAATTATTCTTCAAATATTATTTTTTTTTCAAATTTCAAATATTGAAAAATTTCAAGAAGTAATCTTTAATTGCACAGTATGGCGCATTAGATTTGTAAAATCTTTGATCACATTTATTTATTTGTTATGCCAAATCTAACAGTGTATTTAGATTTTTCATTGAGGTCCAAAGGGTCCAAAATTAAACTTAGTTTGATTTTAACAAAAATTGAATTCTTGGGGTTCTGTGATATGCTGAATCAAAACATGTGTTTAGATTTTTGATTATGGGCCCAGTTTTCAAGTTGGTCCAAGTTGGGGTCCAAAATTATACTTTTTTTGATTTCAACAAAAATTGAATATATGGGGTTCTTTGATATGCTGAATCTAACCATGAACTTAGATTTTTTATTTGTGGGCCCCGCTATCAAATTGGTTCATATTGAGGTCAAAAGGGTCCAAAATTAAACTTTGTTTGATTTCATCAAAAATTGAATTATTGGGTTTTTTTGATATTCCAAATCTAACCGTGTATTTAGATTTTTAATTTTAAGTCCCGTTTTTTAAATTGGTCTACATTAAGGTCCAAAGGGTCCAAAATTAAACTTAGTTTGATTTTAGCAAAAATTGAATTCTTGGGGTTCTTTGATATGCTGAATCTAAACATGTGTTTAGATTTTTGATTATGGGCCCAGTTTTCAAGTTTGTCCAAGTTGGGGTCCAAAATTAAACTTTGTTTGATTTTAACAAAAATTGAATATATGGGGTTCTTTGATATGCTGAATCTAACCATGTATTTTGATTTTGGACATTGGACCATAATAGGTAAATTAAAAAAATTCAAGTTCTTAGACCACATTCTTTCTGTGTCAGAAACCTATGCTGTGTCAAATATTTAATAACAATCCAAATTCAGAGCTGTATCAAGCTTGAATGTTGTGTCCATACTTGCCCCAACTGTTCAGGGTTCGACCTCTGCGGTCGTATCAAGCTGCGCCCCAGCGAAGCATTTTCTAATACATATAATATATTTGAATTTTTTTTATCTAGGGCATGCTATGCCTTAAAACTTTTCAAGATACATAGGTTTGTCTGTACTCAGAGTACTCACGAGATAAGGTGTATAGAAATAACAGGAAGGACAAGCAGATTTTCTTCAAGGATCATCAGGGAGGAAAAGATTTTGAGAACTCCTCTTAAATATTATGGAAGTTTGAACTTTGTCCAAATAATTATTTCTGGCGTCTGGAAAGGCTATTTTAATTTTTTGTTGTGACGCCCATCACAATCATAATAGTAATTTTTGTTAGAATAACCAAACCAATTAGACAGTTCAATTATTGGTGAAAAGTCATTACAATGATTACATATGTTCCTCATAATATAAAAATCTCATTATCCCATGTGTACGTGCGTGAATATTTTAAATTAAAAAAAAAAAAATGGAAAAATATAATAGTGCTTAAATAATTGTATTTTAAGTTGAAATCTGTTTTAATCATTCCCTTTGCTTAATTCACTTGTGAGAAAAACTTGGCAGATATCTAGGAAATGTCATGTGATGTGACTTTTTCAACCTCCACATTGAAACATTCACTATCTCTGACCTCTGGTATTGATGAGCACAATTAAGAATTCAACATAAACAAGAAAGCAATAGATACAACTAGATATCTTATGTTCAGCTAAATTTTGTCTTTTTTTCAGAAACTGAAATGTACAAAAGGATTGTGAGTAAAGGTCATCTACCATATACCTACCTGAAAATAAAATTGTAAGTACAATAGTTCTTCCATCATGTAAGAACAGGCACACTTATTTCCTTTAGAAATTAGAACACAATTAAGAAAGTTAGCTTTTTCTGGAAACATAGTTAAGTAAGGTTTACTTTTTAACAACAAAACTAGAAAAATGTTAAAATGGTGATTACCGAAAGCACACATGGTACAAGGTCAAATCTTTTACAAAAACTGATCTATCGACACATAATTATTTTTTTTTATTTGGCTACAATATATAAATGTACTTATAGGTCATATTTACAATGGCCTAAAATGTAAGGTAATTCATTGTGATTTCAGGAAATGTTGCATACAGATAATATTATAAGAAATTTTTATTTTTTGGAAAATCTAGCCAGTCGAAAAAGAGAGACCAAAGATACCAGAGGGATATTCAAACTCATAAGTCGAAAATAAACTGACAACGCCATGGCTAAAAAAGAAAAAGTCAAATAGACAAACAATCGTACACAAAACACAACATAGAAAACTAAAGACTGAGCAACATGAACCCCACCAAAAACGGGGGGTAATCACAGGTGCCCTGGAAGGGTAAGCAGATCCTGCAATTTTCATAATGATAAAAAACATTGCTAAAAATTTCTGATTTTATGATATTGTGTAGTGATCATGAAGAAAAACAGCGTTACAACTAATCTTTTTCTTGTTGTGCTTTGCAATGCATAGATATTCAGCCATGTGTAACTACATTTAGATTTTACATTTAAGTGTTGTTGGAACTATTGTTTCATCCTTATTTTAGAAGTAAATGGGCTGTGACCATTGTTTATTTGTTTTTTTTATAAGTTTTTGATTTATTATCAGAGTTGCAGTATTATATTTGATATTATTAAGAAAGACTTATATTTTTACATTTTAGAGAATTTGAAGATGGTGTAAGGGAACCAGAAATAGAGGCAGCCATGTTTAAGTATTTTATTACACAAGCTATTCAGTCATTGCATGGTGAGGTAAGCAAAATGTGGTTTAAATTATAAACAAACCAATTAATTCCTCAAATCATAGAATTTATAGAACTTTATAACTAATTGACTTATTGCCAATTTTCTAGCTAATTGATTTATTGCAAAATATATATGTACATGTATTATACATCGCATTGATCAAATTAGTATCATTCCATCATACTGTTCTGTCATTCTGAAATTTACCTTTTTCATTATGTAGTAGATATTGAGCTGATTCTGTGTTTAAAAGTGTTAATGGTGAGTTCACGTTTTGTTTTGGAGGACCTACTTTTCATGTAATTACAGCCTTAAAAATTTCAAAAAATTGTACTTGTACACACTTTTTTGCATTATGCCTTTCCCTGTATATTGCCAGAAATATGGATTGCTAACAATTTAGGGAGCAGTGGTGGGGTGTTCATGTCGTCCTTACTCGTGTAGTTTTATAATTCCCAATAACATATGGTAAATCACAGTACACAAAGCATAAACAATTTAGTTTTCATTCATTTTTTTAATATTTTTAGTTTTATCTTCAAACTTGTGAGTTCGAACCCTGCTCGTGCGGGTGCACTGGACTCCAATCTTAATTGACTAGGATTGTCAGTTTTCCTATCGAAGGTCTGTAGTTTTCTCCGGGCACTCCGGCTTCCTCCACCAATAAAAACTGGCCGCCACGAAATAGCCCAAAAGCGGTGCTTAAAAGTGGCATTAAAACACCAATCAAAAAAAATCAAATCAAATCAAACTTGTAACTTTTAAAACAGTATTAAATTCAGCAACTTTGTGTAAATTCTTTTGGTTTTTTTTCAGATAGGAGCAAGTCACAGTGTAGATGTGCTGAAATTTCGAAAGAGGCAATTAGAAGCTATCCTTAGAGTATCTTACAGGTACATGTATAGTTTATTATTGTCAAATAGATCAGAAATTTGTCATAAATTGTAATACACATATTAACTCTATAATCAAAAGAGATGAAATAAATTATATCAAGTTAAACCATGTTTTAAGTGTCATTTACCTTTGCAGGCCCACCATGGCCATGGCTACTGAAAATTCAATGAGGCCAGTGCTTGTTCGATTAAATTTTCATATACCTGTTAAATGATTTTAAGATTTTGAGTCATCATCTCTAGAAGCTGACCTGTAAACTTAAGTGTTACATGAATTTAAGTATTGAAGCTGCAAGACATTTTAGTGTCAACTCTTGTTATGTCAAAGCCATTATAATTCATTTCTCCAAAAAAAAGGGAATATGAACATGATTATAAATAGAAATCATTCACAAATGAAGATACATATAAATTGTGATTATTAGTATGATAAACAATTTTGAAATATTTGTGTTGTAATTGAAAATCATGCTTGATCTATTTAAATATTAATTACTTATTTTCTTTGCTACAGTTTTCTGTCCAAGTTATGGAGTTCCCTGACCTTAGTTGGAAATTATAAGGGCCAAGTCTGTGCATTTAGAGTCCTACAGGTATGAACATTGTGATATGTTTCTTTAAGATGAGGTCAAATCAAATATTTAATGGTAATATCATGTTTAAAAGTAAAGACATTGTGTAATAACTAATTAGACAACTATCCATAAAAACAGATTGAAAAGAAAGGAACATCAGTAAATCACTAAATGTATAGCCTCCAATAATGGACAGCCACACACATGGTAAGAAAAGCTTCAAATGTCTAGGTCCTCTAGCATTAAAACAACATTGAAATGTGAGTGCTTGTTACTGTAAAGAAATTAATAACTAATTGTTTATTTTAAGAATATCTTAAACACTAATAACAGTGGTCAGGCAATGATCAAAGGGGTCTATCTAAGAGGCACATGTAGAATGTTGAGTTATATATGAGCACTATATCAACCCTAACCTAAGACAGTCTCATAAAGATCAGTTATAAATTATTGAAACTTCTGTTTCTTTTTATTTTGTTTTGAAAAACAGAATAAATAGAGGATTGAATGTAGTTCATACTTACAATTTGCTTTTCAATAGTTCATACAGACAATTTGCTTTTCAATAAACTTATCATAGACACATAGAAGCATGTAATCATGCTTTTTTACCAGACATTAAATGTATATTACTTGATTAGCAGTTATCATGTATTCAATTGTCAATGCTTTTTAGCTCACCTGGCCCGAAGGGCCAAGTGAGCTTTTCTCATCACTTGTCGTCCGTCATCGACGTCCGTCGTCGTTAGCTTTTTACAAAAATCTTCTCCTCTGAAACCACTGGGCCAAATTTAACCAAACTTGGCCACAATCATCATTAGGGTATCTAGTTTAAAAAATGTGTCCGATGACCCTGCCAACCAACCAAGATGGTCGCCATGGCTAAAAATAGAACATAGGGGGTAAAATGTAGATTTTGGCTTATATCTCTGAAACCAAAGCATTTAGAGTAAATCTGACAGCATAAAACTGATTATCAAGTCAAGATCTATCTGCCCTGAAATTTTTCAGATAAATCTGACAACCTGTTGTTGGGTTGCTGCCCCTGAATTGGTAATTTTAAGGAAATTTTGCAGTTTTTGGTTATTATCTTGAATATTATTATAGATAGAGATAAATTGTAAACAGCAATAATGTTAAGCAAAGTAAGATCTACAAATAAGTTGTCATGACCAAAATTGTCAGTCGACCCCTTTAGGAGTTATTGCCCTTAATAGTCAATTTTTAACAATTTTTTGTAAATTTTTGTAATCTTTTACAAAAATCTTCTTCTCTGAAACTACTAAGACAAATTTAGCCATACTTGGCAATAATCATTATTAGGATATCTAGTTTAAAAAATTTGTCCGATGACCCTGCCTTCCAACCATCATGGCCGACTTGGTTAAAAATAGAACATAGGGGTAAAATGCAGTTTTTGGTTTATATCTCTGAAACTAAAGCATTTAGAGCAAATCTGATAGGTGGCAAAAATGTTCATCAGATTTAGATTTATCTGCCCTGAAATTTTCAGACGAATTCGACAACCCGTTGTTGGGTTGCTGCCCCTGAGTTAGTAATTTTACCAAAATTTTGCAGTTTTTTGTTATTATCTTAGATATCATTATAATATCTAATATCTAATACTATTAATTGTGATTTTAACCTTATTTTACATGATTTCCAAAGCATCAGTAAATACAGGTGAGCGACACAGGCTCTTGAGAGCCTCTAGTTTAATTCTTATATCATTGAGGAAATATGATGAATTCAAAGAGAAACTATCACAAAGTCAAAAGAATTGTGTTTTCTCTCATAAAGTCAAAAGTAGTCTGTTATGTTGAACTAACTAACATATTAAAGTTGTCTCCCTTTGACCAATTTTGATTTTGGCTATACCATTAATTATGGCCAGTTACAGATTTCTTTATTGTCAGGGGCGTAGCTACCACATCGTTTTCACAAACAAACAAAAAACAGAGAGAGAGAGAGTGAGGGACAAAGTTAACATACAGGAATTGGTCTTTCTATGTATGCATTTTAAAAACTACACAATGAATAAAAGCAAGAGGAATACACATGTAGCGGAATTTTTAATCCTGTAAGACATGTATGCGTAAGATAAATACATACAACTGATGTAAACTTAGAGGAACTTTTTTATATTACGGGCATTGTTTAGAAAATACCAGCTACATAGTTGTTGGTTCCACAACCATACCGTATACTCGCTTTGAGTGCAAAAAAAAAACATAATCCCTTTAGGGTTAACAAAAACTTGAAAATTATTATTTTCCGCTTCGCCCCGAAGCACACATCTTACTAGAATGAAGACTCTTCAACTCGTATCGATCCAGGAATAATGACTGTTACCTTGTGAACTAGTTCAATATTGACTAAGTATGTAGGTCTTGACAACACGAATAGTTCAATTTCACATCACATCAACGTATCTCGTCCTGTGTGCATGTAATATTTGCTACCGGACATTAATAACCATTCAATCAATCAATAGTTTCTGTATACTAGTAGATGAGAAGTTGGAACTGCTGTTATTATAAAAAAAGGACACATTTGACAGTACATGTTCTACGTTTTTATTTATTTTACAAAAAAAATCTTTTATATAGATTCGATAATTCAAAGTCGTTTCTATATGGGCCGGCTATACGAATGGTTGATTGTAAAACCATTTAAATAAATTGTTAATTCTTACTCATTTTACTGGACTATTAGGTCATTCAATTTTAAAAAGAACTGTTTGTCCGAGTAGGACACTAAACTGCTGATTCTTGTTTGAAAGATACACCAAACTTTTATTACACGTATCTTGACTGTAATCATCTAGATATTGCCATACAACTGGTCGACTGCATATGCATTTGTTAATTAGCTGGCTAATTAAAAAACGCAGATTGTGAAAAAAATCGTGATCAAAATACCATTTACTCTGAAAAAGTTCATTAATTTCAACTTTGAATATTCCTAAATACTTAAAATTCGAAATTCCCATCTCTCTCTTGTAGAGTTTACCCACAAAATTTTTAAACATCTAAAGACATATGTTAAGCAAAATATATGAGAATGTGTCCAAGTATTTGGTATTCATTGATGTTTATGCTAACAGAAACTCCACATATAGTATTATGTTTATGTTTATTGTTTGTTTTTTTAAAATCTACTTTGCTCAATACAAATACTAGCATATGGAACAAATCTCTGTGATTTTAAAAGCTTTCACATACAAAAAACGCAAGCGACAATGTTAAGTCTTCAATTGACTCGAAGTTAAACAAATAGTTGACCAAAAAACCACAACAAAAATGTCCAAGTTTTATTTCAGTTGTGATTGTTTTGAAACGCTATATATGCGGAGTTTCCGGGGGGCTTTGCCCTGGACCTACTGGGGGCATTAGGGAGACCCCAGACCCCTCGCCCTTTAGTTTGTAATTCCACTTCATTAAGAAGGTAGCTATGCCCCTGATTGTGTTGATGTGTAATGAGAACTACAAAATTAATTTCAAAATTAATTTACAGTGGTAGATTTTAATATACATGTATAATGTTGTGAAGATCATTAAAATTTGAAGATTGCAAATTTGAAATTATTTTAGATTAATTGATAGTTGATTTGTGCTAAGGTTCATTGGCATAATCTGGATATTTTATATTAATTGACAGGTTGATGTGTGCTTAATGTTCATTGACATAATCCGGAACTTATAATTGTATCAATGCATAACTAAGATACACACTGAGGTTAAACATAGAATTACATTTGCTGTATACTGTAGATTTATTATTTTTTTGTGGGATACCAATTTTAGTGGAGTTTGAATAAAACGGTGTATGAATTGCTAAATGAATTATTTTTGAAAGTAAAATATTTAAAGATTAATTGTATATCTGCTTCATGTTTATAAATATACTAGCCTGAAATAGGAATAGGTTTCATTTTTATCCATTTTTCTAGAAATGAATAACCCATTTTGCCTTTTTTCATGAGTTTGCATGTGACACTACCCCTTATCCATTGAAAGTTTGGTTGAAAAGTAAAGAATATGGCATCTAGAGAATATTTCAGCAAAAGTATTGGTGGGTGAGGGGTGGCACCACTGTTCTTTATCCAAAAACTGTCATAAATTTTGCAAACAATCAGGTTTTTTCGAAATTCACCTACATTTATGACGTCACCTATACATTACTTTACGCCATTAGTGAAAATTTTTTTTGAACTGAAACAATTCGACATTTTAACAATTGTTTTCACAAAATTTTCATAAAGTTATAGCAGTTAAATAAAGATTTTAAGGGCCAAAATTATGAGTGAGTGAACCAACTCATTTAAATGTTCAGGAAATGTTCAAGGAAAATTTTTTTGTGGGCTTATGTGAAGACTTTGTCAAAACAACAAAATCAAATATCTACAAAAATAAAATTTTTCCCCAGTCCACAGAAACAAACCCAAGAAACTCACAAATCCATAGCAGTTAATAACATTCATGAAGAGTGGCTTTTTTATTTTGATTCCATTATCTGATGAGTTTATTTTGGTCCTTGAAATATTTTTAAGTTTGATTAGAATGCTTTTTGCCCCCATGCAGCATGTTGCATGGGGTAAAAGAAATACTATCTTTTACTACATTTTACTATTAGAGCGTGTCTGTCCAGATTTGTAAGCGCTCTAATGCTTCTAATGCCTCTAATGTGCACAATTCTTGACAGATTTTTATCCAATTTATATCAAAAAGGTTTATATCAGCAATGTCTCGGACAAGTTCATTATGAGGCACTGTATTATAACATTTTTGTTCTTGTTTCTTAGGTATCATCTCATTTGATGGCTTTATCTTCAAACAGCAGAGAACTAGAAGTTTCTTGAGTAAATTCAATGAGTGAATACCTGGTTCTGCTGAGGAATATTGACCAATAAGAAATCACACAGAGAAACATTGTTTCAACAGTTTAAAGTGTAGAGAAAGACACAAGATGTTAAGCAAAAGTGAAAAGCATTCATGCAAATAAGTGGTAATTGTTAAAGTCAGTTCTTATTGAATTGGTGCAGAAGGTTTAATAACATGAAGTACAGAAACTTATTTGTTGATTTTGACTAATTTAATGTAGTAATGACATGTAAGAAATGATAAACATTATCAAAATTTTTAAATAACTTTTTTAATGAAATTATTTAATAAATTATACTTGGAAATTTGATATAGATTAACAGACATTACACATTAGCATACACAAGCATTATAACACTTAATGAAGACATTACTACTCTCTTGCATGTATTTACTATACTATTCTATGCATGATATTTAATTTGTTGTTTATTAACCTTGTTAAATCTTATTTAACTAATCATGTTTGTTATTACACTAGTACAATGAAGTTATATGTTATTTACATGTCTGTTGCTTTAATAAATTTATAAATGTTGATAGTGCAAGTCTATTTCTTTTGCCAATGATAAGAAATGGTTTGATCATTAATCAGAATTATTATGATCATTTCCCAGTGTTTCATCTGCATTGAGCATACTGTTATTGTTAAATCTTCCAACAATTTTCATTCAGGGTTTTCATGCTATGCAGAATTTTTGTAATGAATTGCTGTAAAACAAAAAAATTGATAAGATCATAAGATCACACACTTATGACAATAAATAGGAAAAGAAAATGATAGGTGGTGGATGTACAAGAGACAAAATTCCCATGAACACATGATGAAATACTAAGAATCAACCAATCTGTACAGTAGATTTATACATTTTATAGTATTACCAATTATCATGAATTCAGGAATTATTGTATTTTGGATATTTGATTCCTTGGTTTTGCTGAAATAGACCTACAAACCTGTAGAAACTTTGAACTTTGTTGAACATTCAAAATATACATACAAACCTATAGAAACTTTGAACTTTGTTGAACATTCAGAAAGTTTGAACTTTGTTTAACATTCAAAATATTCATACAAACCTATAGAAACTTTGAACTTGGTTGAACATTCAGAAAATTTGAACTTTGTTGAACATTCAAAACATTCATACAAACCTATAGAAACTTTGAACTTTGTTGAACACTCAAAATATACATACAAACCTATAGAAAATTTGAACTTTGTTGAACATTCAAAATATACTTACAAACCTATAGAAACTTTGAACTATGTTGAACATTCAAAATATACATACAAACCTATAGAAACTTTGAACTTTGTTGAACATTCAAAATATACATACAAACCTATAGAAAATTTGAACTTTGTTGAACATTCAGAAAATTTGAACTTTGATGAACATTTAAATTTGTGATATACCTTTACCCATAAAATCCACAAAATTGGTATCCCATGAATAATAATGAATACACAGTAACAAAGGAACAGAGTTTGCTGTACCCTGTATAACAGATTACTGGGGTCATAGAAATACAGGGCATCCATGCATCTACATAAGATTATAATTTCAATGTTATCTAATTAAAAGAAAGATTGTAAACAGTCTGTGGTTCTAGAGATACAGTCAAAAACATAAATCAAGAAGGGTAGACAACACCAGTCAATGTTAGAAGAATGCAAAAAAGTAGCACTGGTCCACAAAACATTTCACATATAACTAAATATTGATAATGGTTGAATTTAAGGTAGATTACCCTGATGTTGTCACATCAGCTTCACACTAAGCACATATGTTCAGTATGGTGTGAACTTTAAAAAAATTATTCCAAATTACAGTTTTCTTTTGATTTGATAGTTCACTGGATATAAAAATGTATTGTATTAAAATATTGGTTGAAGGTAGTTTACTATGAAGTATGAAGTTGTGATCACATTTACCTCAAGCTTAATACACATGTTCATTTATATATGCCAAATAAGGGTTTTAATCCAGATTTCATGATTCACTGTTCAATCAGAATTAAGGTTAGGTTAACAGTATTTTAAAGTACTTGATGAAGGTAAATCCAGAAAAGCGCCTCGGACGCATGAAATTATTTAACGTGTTGTTTTCATTTTTTAAAGTACTGGTGTATATAATGTACCAAGATGTTGTGGTCACATTTCATTATGATGTATGCCAAATTAGGGTTTTGACTCAGATTGCATGGTTCACTGAACATGGAAAAGTGATTGTTTTAGCAGGGTTTGGTGTCCTATGGACACATATTCTTGGAGTTATTTTCATAAAAATGTCTGTGCTATTTACAAACAAGTAAAAATTTGTAATGGGCTTTAAAATTCTTCAATATGCTAATTTTTATCTATTTAAATACTGTAATAGCATTGAGTTGCCTTAAAAAAAATCATGGAAACAAATGATATCAATACAAATGTACAAGTGAACAGTTGAGTGCAGGCTTTTGCTTAAAAATTTACAGGTTAATGCTTAATTTATGCTCCCTGAAAAACACTTTGTGAACACATAGTCATTGCTTTGTCTGTCCAAATCAAATACTTGATGGATATGATCTTGAGATACAGGAAAGGTGAAGAAACTTATGGATATTGGAGTTCAAGGTCTCAGTTACTAAAAACATTTTCTTCTAAATAAATGCTTTCCTCTTAAAATTTGGAGTTTCCCTTGCAAAATTGAAACTGAAATTATGCTAAAAGAATGAGGGAAAGAGGCCTATATATTTTGGGGTAAACAGGTCAAAGTTCAAGGTCACGATTTCTAAAACTAGATTTTTGGAGTTGAATTAGTTTTCAGATGATAACTAGAGTTTCCTTTCTCAGTTAGAAAACAAAGCTTATTACAGATGGAAGACATATTGAAGCCAAAATTCTTTAAAATCTTGGTTTCCTGGATAAATTCTTTCACTATGGATTTTTGTTTTTCAGGACTATTTACATTGGGCATGTGCCTTCTAGACCTGGTAGGTTAGACAAGTTAAGAAAATGGGGGGAGTAAAAAGGGGTTTATGCATTCCAAGGATCTTGAACAAAGCATTTTTAACACATGACAGCTATATATAGATTAAAATTTTATCAAAGCCTTTGTTTCTAAATGTAATACCAAATTGATAGATGTCCGTTATCTAACTCCTTATCAGATATATAAGTCTTTCAAATGTAAATTCAATAACATTGAAATATGACTAAAAGTTTGAAATTAAGACAGGCTGTTTCAATTTAATGAATTTAAGAATTTAATACAAACTGTTTTGAAAGAAGAAAAAGTGCAAAATAGCATCAGCACATTAGAAAATAATTTCCTACACAAACAATATGAATCTGTCTAAAAAAACAGGTTGATCTTTGATGTTGAAGTTTTTGCATCTGATTACTGTATGGATAGAAATACTTTATAGAATATTCCAGATAACTATACTTTTAATGCTGACCCATAGGACAGATAACTAATGGGACTGATTAAGGAAATGATCATTTTTAGTTTCTATCCAAAAATGGTTAATTTTTTTTTCTTCATCTCTGATTATTGATTGATCTGTTCAGACCCATATTTCAACATAGTCTATTCTAAAATAAATATTTTTTATAATAGTTGCTAATGAGATTTTAGTAGTCTCACCACAACCAATGAACGGACTTTATTAGTATTCATTAACTTAAAAGAAGTAACTAACAATCCAGGGCATTAATCCCCAATAGACAAAGTGTATTAGTATAATTGTACTATAAATAAGTCATAAGTAATAGAATCAAGTCTGTTTTTATATTAGAAGTCTACAACAATAAAAATCAATACCAGACATTTTTTTTGAATTGACAGAATAAGCTTATTCATGCTTTTCTTGGATTTTCATGTTCTTTTATATTATTGGGCCTTAGTGATCTAGTACTTCATTTAGGGTCTGTCTACAATGAGTTCCTAAGTTTTAACCCTGCATGTGGCAAAATGTGCTCAATTCCAAACTTAATACTAGGATTACCAGTTTCCTGCTAAAGGTCTGTGGTTCTCTCCTAGCACTGACTTACTCAATGGAAAAAATCTTGGTGCCATACTATAGCCAAGGGTGCTGAAAGTGGTGTTACACCAATGATCAATCAATCAAACAGTCATGATACATATAAGGGGTATTTGGACATTAAAACTTTTAACTCAAGCTAACCTACATAGGCCATATATTGCAGAAACATCTTTTTCTCACAAAAAATTAAAATGTAGTCAGTACCCCTTAAATGAAAAAGAAATAAAAAAAATAAAGAATTAAATCTGTCTGTATCTTTATTGCTAATTTCGTTATCTTATATTTGGCTAAATCTTATAAATGATCTTGTCAAGGAATATAAAGTAAGCTGTCTATCCAATATTTATTCAGATATATATCATATGGGCATTAAAAAGGAAATCCATTTTTTTTTTCATGATTTTCTAATTTTACAACTTTTGAATTTTAGGAAATATTAGGATTAAAAAAAGAATGAAAAAAATGGGCTGTTCATTTATAAATATTAACATGAATAAGAAGAATATAGGCCTGGTGTATTGTACTTTTACATTTAGTTTCCTTTAAATGGCCCTAGCATGTAAGTAATTTGAATACATATTAGCTAGACACCTTACTTTGTATTCAAGACTACGTATACTTTATAAATTATTTTAACCAAATATTAGATAATGGATTTAGCAATGAGACAATGGAGACATCTTTGACTTGCTAAGAACATCACATACATTTCTCAATGAAAGACTTCCATAATATTTTTATTAGTATACTGTAAATTCAGAAATTATTGTGTGCATTTATTATTGCAATATTTGAAAAATGGACAAAATGTGAAATTAATTATTGCGATTTTAGGTAAATCTTCATACATATGTATCAGATATAAGAATGTGAGTTCTTATTATTGTGATACTCACCCAGTCACATTATTCACATCAATAAAAAACCTCGCAATAATTTCTAAATTTACAGTATCCAGATGTTTTCAATTGATACTTTAAAAAAAGTATTTGGTCTAGAATGTGTACATGTCTACTTGACAGGATTTTGTTGACCTTGACCTCATTTCAATGTTTTATTGGTTAACGTTTAACAGTCTGACAGGCATAACCTTTGTTTGATCATATTTTTAAGTTTCCTTTATGAATTGTAAGTTTTAATGATACATGTAGACAGACCCCGATCTAGAAATTTATTTCAAATGTGCAATGACATATTATTCATGCAGTCATATAACTATTAAAGCTGCTGAACAAAATTCCACTATGGTTCTGATAATTATTTGATAAATAATTGGAGTTTCAACTTTCCAATTATGTTTTAATAATTCCTTCACACAATATATTACATAAACTAGACACTAACAATGCATATGGAGGGGACTTCAATTTTTAATCATTGCAAAATCCCCAGATAATACACATGCAGTTCAATTAATTTGATACTTCTTCAGTATGATATGCAATGCCACTTTTAATTGGATGACATCTGCTGACAATTCTACGATACACGATCAGTGTTTTAAACA